ACGTACCTTGGGTGGTACCGTGCTCGGAAGTTTCTAAAATAGTGGACAATTGCTTCACCGTCAAAGGAGAGTATTCAACTGCAGCTTTTAGGGGTTCTACATGTTCATCTGTAATGGCTTCAGGCGTTGGATTACTTTCTGGGCTATGTGAAAATTCGGGAGGTTTCGGTACACTCTTCAAAATAGATCCAAATTGTCTTGGTGCAACTTTCTGTGCCATTTTAGGTGTACTAACCGATTGAGATTTCAAGAATACGTTGAATATTTGCGTAGAACAAGTTTCTTCCGGATCAAATATAGCTCCCCCTACAGCCCCTTCAGTGCTAGATGGTTGACCCTCATTCATAGAAGGTTCAGTATAAATTTCGAAACCTAGTTTATTTTCTACGGCGGTTTTCGTTATTCCTACAACAGACGTGGATATTGTTGGTAAAGCGGGTGTTTTAAACTTGAAATCGGAATTAACTGTTGAAGGATTTTCTCCTTTGCAAACTGAACTAACTTTATTAATAGCATCAGCTGGAGAAGTGCTTGTAGCTGTGCTAATTGTATCTTCGAAAATTTCGAACGGTAGTCCTGTTTTTGTTGATGGTGGCGCGGTAAGCTTATTAGATTCATTCGAGGTTTCGGGTATATTTGTTATTTTCAGAGACTCTTTATGGAGTATATCTTCAACCGCAATATCCTCTTTAGATTCCATGGGAACGATAGAAGGTCTTGGCATAATCGATTTGCGTAAGGGAAAAAAGCTTTTGCGTCTCTGTGCCCTTTCATTAATGCCGCATGCAGTCTCATCCATATCAGCTGTCATTAATATTGTATCATATCGACGCAGACGTCTTGCCATCAACTCTTCGACTTGGTATTCCACCTTTTCGGAAGAATCATATAACTCCCTAAAACACACCATTAATCCTTTCCTATTTTCTGGTTCGAAGTATGCGTCTACTTCTGTCAATCGTTGTGGCCTGGATGCTTTCGCAAAATTAGGATACTGTCTTACATTTCTATTAACATCGTAACTGCACCAATAAGTGTCTCGTTTTGCTGTAAAATTGTTTGAAATGCCACGTTTTTTAAACCAACGGTACGCTCGATACTCTTCTGGCTGAAATTCTATATTTGGTCGTGGGTACATAAAACATTTGTTATACTGTGGGAAAGTTCGAGGATCCGGCTCATTTTCGATCGTTACTGGTGTAAGCCATTCCTTTTGTGGTAAATTTCTGTTCTTAAAATCTTTCGGATATTTAAAGGGCTTTTCATAATTTCTTTCTCCTTCGGTAATGGGTGGTACTAGAGCTTTTTTAACATAATCCTCTTCCATCTCAGTATCCTCGTGAATACTGAAACCCAAATCAGTATTCCTATCCTTTTTACTAAAGAGTTTGCCAGACATTTTCTTATCATGTGCTTTATTCCATGGTCCTGGCTCTTTAAGATTTTCTTGGTTTCGTGCTGCATCAATAATTGAACGAACAACTGATTTAGGAACTTCAGATGCACTTTCTTGTTCAGCTACTGTTGCTGTTAGTTGTGAATTAGGATTGACATTTTCATCTTGAAAGACTTGTACGCGCGTGTTTTCTTGTTTAGAAGAACTAGGGCCAGTCTACAATAAAAATTAGCAAAGTTCATAATAAAATTATATATAATCAATTTAGTTGATAATTTTTTTTTTACCTGTATCGTACCCGGTGCATAACTCTTCACTGCAGATCCCGTGCGCACACTGCCGACAATTGCTTTACGCCTATGACCTCGTAAAGACGTTAAAGCTAAACGTCTTTCCTCGAACTGACGTTTTGTGCTTTCTTTTACCTCGTCGTCATCTTGATACATTAAACGTTGTGCAACGGAGAAGCCAAAATGTTGGTGCGCTTCTTGTAATTCTTCGAAAGGCTGTGCACGACATGCAATGCCTCTACGAAATATTTCGTCTGCCTTGCGCGTATTGCCACATAAATCATAATGGTACGCCCAACAAATATAGAAATCAGCAATCATTGTTCCAATTCCAGCATTGAACAACTGTTGATAGCATTCCATCGGATGCTGATGACTATCAATCTGCGAGTAATTATTCAAGGTGTATGATTTTCATTTAGTTACAAATTACAACCAAAGTACTTACGAATTTCATATACAATTTAATCATTCGTCTATCTTGGAAATAGCGTACCTCATTTTCAAACTGAGATAAGCATTTTGTTAGCACTTCTTCTAAACCAGATTCTTTGCCACCCGAAGGAAAACTTTGCTCTATCCAGCTAATATATGCATACCAAGGTTCGAGAGGATCATTACCACTATATTCTCGAATGGCTTGTTCTAACTCTCGCCGTCGAGCCAATAACTCTTGCGGCGACTCAACACGCAAAGAAGCTTGTAAAATACTGGCATTGCGTCCAGCCGCCAATGGCTGTATATTTTCTTTTGCATCCTCAAAATCCATAACTAAGCGAAGTTACTATTTGTAGTAATTTTATAACTAGCAATTCCAATCAATAAAGCTTCGGTTTTCTCAGTAATATCTAACTAAACACAGAAGAACGTCACTTTTACTGAAATTAAATGAAGGAATTCAATTTTTCTAAGCCGTTAGCCGTTAGCATAAAATAACTTCAAAAGGCGCAAATAAATAATTTAGAATTATGAGCTGCAAAGTTGGCTGTGCTCAAAATATCTTTTAACACACAATTCACAATAGAGAAAATCTTTGTACTATGGAGTAAATTACACATTCCGCAACATTCGTGTATTATCTAATATCAATAAACAATATTATGAATTATTTTAACAATGTGAAAATAAATTATACATATAACGAATTTTCAAAAAGTAAAAATATACAAAGCTTGGTGGGTATAAATATCACGAATTGAGACTTTACCCCAAATAGTCACTAGTGACTGCTTACAGAATTCCACTATCAGTTTTGTGACCTGCTAACATTCAGGTCTCAAATTTGAGTCAATATTTAGAGACTAACGCTAGAGACTGTTTTTGTTCGATTGCTTAGTTCGTTATTACACGCGGCAAACGCGTGGTTTATAGGCGAGGGGGCAACGAGGAGAGGAGAAACGCGCCGAGTTTCCAGTGTTCAACAACTCGCTTTGTGTTCTTATTCTTAACAGTTCGCTGCGACGTTTTTCGGCATTCGTGTTCTTTCTTTCGTAGTGCATAGTTGCATTTGCGTATTTATTTTGAAATTAATATTTTGAATATATTTAAAAAAATTTATTTCACCTTTTGGTACGTAATTTGCAAATATGTATACAAATATATATAATAATAATAAATATTTATATTAATTTTAAAAATGGAGTATGACGAAGAAATCGAATTAATTAAATATATTGATTAAGACGATAGTGAAAAGGGTGATATATGTCAAGGTCTGTTATATAATCTTTGTTTTAATTTTGAATTATAAATAAAATGTATTTCTTAATTGACAGAACTGATTAATAKATGTGATAGAGTGGCCCAAATACCTGTAAGGAAAAAGAAACGACAATGGGTTAAAGTAAAGTGTTGACAATGGGTTAATGTAAAGTGAAAGAGAATGAGAAAAAAACTCGAACAGAGTTGCGCAACACAAGTTGCTCGTGTGAAGGTAAAGGGCAACAGCAAAAGATAATCGCCCGAGAATCAGCAACAAAAGTTGCTTCGTGTAATAGCCGACTTACAGAATTCTACTAGATATCAGAGATGAGCGATATTGCGATTTTTCAATATCTGCGATTTCAGTGATTGCTATTTTTAAATCACTGTGATTTTATATTGCTATTGGGATCGCAACTAAGTCGACTTTCAAATGGAGACATTTTCTTGTTGTTGTTGTAGTGGCAGATTCTGCCGATTTGACAGTGTTTGGCCGACTGTCGATTTGCAGATATTGCATTTTGCATATATTTCGTCTACCACTTCAAACATCTGCCATACTTCACTTCTTTTCCTTGCTACATTTCCAGCCATTATTAAAAATTATATGAAAGTTAAACTCAAAACTTCAAACCGATATGACGAAAAATAGCATATACGCATATGTAGGTATATACAATACCCTGAAGAAAGCTGCTACTTTTCTGCTATTTGCTATAGTGATCGTATGTACTGTGCTATTAAAAAGCCACAGTTTCACAAGCTTATTCTGATCTGTTATCGCAATCGCAATTCACGAAATCAAACAAATCACAAATTCGAACTGCTATTTATAAAATGTGATCGCAGTTGCGATATGCGATTTTTCAATCACAGTGAAAAAATCAGTGGTAGTCAAAATATCGCTCATCACTACTATATATACAACTCTGTCAGAGCTTTAAGAAAACGCCATAAGTCGGCTATTACACGAAGCAGCTTTTGTTGCTGATCCTCGGGCGATTCTCTTTTGCTGTTGCCCANAGAAATACATTTTATTTATAATTCAAAGTTAGAGCAAAGGTTATATAAGAGATCTTCACTATCGTCTGAATCAATTTGTATGGCTTCCTCCATACATTTCACAATATCTTTAATTAATTCGATTTTTTCGTCATACTCCATTTTCTAAAATATTTATATTATATTATGTATATTTGTATACATATTTGCAATTTACGTACCAAAAGATGAAATTAAATTTTTTAAATACATATATTCAAAATATTAATTTCAAAATAATATACGCAAATGCAACTATGTACTACGAAAGAAAGAACACGAATGCAGAAAATCGTCGCAGCGAACTGTTACGAATGAGAACACAAAGCGAGTTGCTGAACACTGGAAACTCGGCGCGATTCTCCTCTCCTCGTCGCCCCCTCGCCTATAAACCAAGAGTTGCCCCAACAAAAGTTGCTTCGTGTAATAACGAACTAGCGGTTCTGAGAAACCGAGGTTCGGCGAACCAAGAAAATTAATAAAAGCGTCACGCCCGGAACAAATAGAGTGCGACAGACTGCAAGCGACATCTGTCAAATATAGAAATACACACGTTCTTATGGACACAGTTATGTAGTTGTGCAGTTGAATATATGTGATCGATCTGATATTTTAAAATTTTCAATAATCGATAAATACTATCCCTCTTTCAGTTTTGAGATTAGTAGAAACTGCAGTTGCATTTTTATATTTGTTATTTTGTTTAATATTAGTATAATACATTCACTTGCTAACTGTGAGTATAAAGTATAATTTAATATAGTTTAATATATTATAAGAAGAACACATAATTTGATTTGGAACACTCTTTCAGAAATATGTCGAACGACAACTTGAATAACGTTGTCCCGAAGGAACTTGGTGCATGGAACCCAATGCGCGATGATTATACCAATTCAAAATTTAATAAATATAGCAGTGGTCCTGGAGCTTATTTAGATGCTGCTTTACATCCACTCCAACAAGCTGAAGCAGGAAACAAGCAAAGGTCTCTGATTTCGAAGAATGTGAATGATAGTTCGACTTCAAAATTTACACCTTATTTGGTACTAAAGCATTTGCCACCTGGAATTACTAAGAAAGCCATTTATAATATTTGTACTCGTCATGGACGAGTCAGCGATGTTCGTGATAGTACAAAGAATGATTACTTTTTCATTGATTTTCCAACTGTGGCGTAAGTAAAAATTTTGTTTTTGTAATATATTTATATATGTATATAAATACAGTTTACTGCATTCACCAGCGAAATGGAATCCGTTTATCGTGCTTTAATGGAGAATCAATACGGTTTTCATGTGCTGGTAGGAAAGCAAAAAAATAAGCAGGAAACTGAGCCTATACTTTCAGATATTGAAGAAACTCTGCCGTCAATAGAAACAGAAAAGAACATCATTGATTTTGAACACAGGTATTTATTTAAATAAAAAAATTAAACACCATAAAACAAAATGTCTATATTTAGAAACTACCGATCATCTGAAAAAAATTTACCTCGACCACACTTTGGACACACTCCAATTGTGAATCATAAGGATTATGAAACGAAAGATTCGCTTCTGCAACGTAACGATCCACAACGGCATTTTCTTATTACCGAAGATGCACACGAGCTTGAACGAGCAGGCCTGAAGGACTACAACGATTTAAACAATATGGAGACTTCCAAGTACAAATATCGTACAGGCAGAGCGTTCATTGAGTACGTAATTTTAGGGATTTCCAATCGAGCTTTAAATTAATCATATTATTTTTTATCTTAGGATGTCTGAGCAGTCTAAAACATATATTGAAGAAAAGTCACGTCAATCTTTGGGCGGCTATGACTGGTCACGACAAATATATGAAAATAATCATAATAATAGAGGTATCCAGAGACCTAAAGATATTGGACAATGTGCAAATTGTAACCGAACTTGTGATATAGTTTGTGCACGGTGTCAAACATATTTTTGCGGTTTGGAATGCCAACGTAAGGCCTGGCCAAAGCATCGCCAAATTTGCGGTAAAGATAAGTACGTACTATATAGGCATATGTATACATATATAATATTGATTACATTTTAATATATTTTAAGTATAAAAAACAGTTTTAAAGGCTTAAATGAAAATTTGGAAAATAAGTGTTTTGAAGAGGAAAAAGTACACATAGAATCAAACAATAAAGAAAATCAAGTTTCTCCGAACACGTCAACTTCTTCCGGTGTTGTTGAAAAATCTATTGAGATGCAATCAAGAAAAATACCTCGCAGTGGTAATTTAGTTGCACTTACTGCCATTAGCAAAACGAATATAGTATTTATAAGATCGAAGGCTGATGAAGATAATTTAAACTTCTTTAAATTTATTAATAATGTTCAGAGTGCGGCTAAGCAGCTAAAAAAATTGTCGAAAGCACCAATTTGTGGACAGATTGTCATTACTAATTTCGCGGGACAGTATAATCGTGCTATGATACTTAATAGTGACAATGAACAACACATAAAATTAGTTTATATGGATTATGGTAATTTGGATGCAAGAAAATTGGAGGATATGTATGAAGCACCCGAGCAGTTCATTCAAGTACAACGGTTTGTGGAGCCGGTAATATTAAAAGATGTACCGGAAATGTATATGACCGAAGAAATTCGTAAATTTATGTATTCATATTTGGATGGTATTGATTTGGTAGTTAAGTATGATGAAAAAAACGATTTGTTATCCGACAAGGGTGTTTATGAAGTTGAATTATTTGATGGCACTACAAATCAAAATTTCAATAAAATGGTAGCCAAACTTTGCAAACCAACCGAGCCAACTAATCCGGATGAAGCATATTACGTTAATGTTAGTATATTTTTCTTTTCTAAACTAAGTGCAGACATATATTTATTCTAAATTCTTTCTGTTAAAAATAACAGCATTTACCTCAGAAGCAATTACCAGAAGGCGACAACATAGAACTGGTTGTTATGGACAACTCTCTTCTTTGTACCGGTTGTATATCATGTAGTACAAAGAAATGGGCCATCGAAATTGAAAAATTTCAAAGTGATCTCCAGCTTTATGGCGAGTCGTTAAAGGATCAATGCTATACACCGCGGTATGTAATATTTTTTCAATATTTTGTGCTTTAAAATATATTGACATTCTACAAAAACATCTCTAATATTTAGTATCGATGAACTTTGCATTGCTAAATATAAAATTGATGGTAAATGGTATCGTGGTCGTTGTCTGGAAATCGTGGGTGATGGTTTCCCGAGCATCATATTCTTCGACTACGGAAACATTGGAATGGTCAACGTCAAGAATATTAGGCGTTATCCAGCACAGTTTACTTTTCCAATTTACACTTGCGATTGTGAAATTAAAGGTAAAGATTTGAAATTACCACAAGTTTTATATTTAAAATGCATATTTCAAAATATCTAATAACGTTATACAATTGTGAAGGGTTGCCGGAACAGTGTGAGGCCGATTTGGTTCAGAAATTGGAAGAACTTATACCTAATGGCAGTACGATTCATTGTGAAAATGTGACGGTCTATAAGGATGACAACTTCCACGCAATAACTTTACCTAAACTAATCCACAATCTTAAGGCCGAGGGATTATTGAAAGAAAAAGTCTAAAAACTTAAATCCAGTTTAAATATATATTTATTCAATTGTTATTAAAAAACAACAACGAAAAATATAACGCTACTATAACAAATTAGATGGCACATTTGAAAGACTATGACCGGTTTGAAAATGATTAACTGAATTAAGTATTTATATGAAAGTTTTAAAATAGTGGTCATAAAAGTTTGCAATAAACTTAAAAGTTATAAAGATAAGTATATATAGAATACAATTTTATAAAAGAAATTCTTGTTTTGTCGGATTATTTCTATTATTATTACTGAGACGCCTAATCTTACTAAGACACCCATTTTCAGACAAAACGTTAGTTTTTTAGTATCTAAATTAAATCATCCAACAATTAAAAGCTGTTTCAGTTTGGGTTTTTAATACTTGGAAAAAACTATTTAAATATTTTATTTTTTATTTAATGGTGTATTAAAACAACTGACGTTTGACCTTTCAATACTTAATAAATTGATTTGCTATACATTTTTAAATGTTTTCAATTGAAAATTAATATGCACATACATACATACACATTTTAATTTCAAAATTTCATCAAAAACATTTAAACTTCATATTTTCTTTAATTTTCACACTTTCTCACATTTATTTTTGGTAGAATTTAAATCTGTCCGTTCCGTTTGTGAAACGTCAAAATAAATAAATAATTTAGTTCAAATAATAAGTAGTTTTGATATATGCATATGGAAATGTTAGCTAATCTGTTTGGCACAACGAACTTCCAAATATTTATCAGTATGCTTGGCAAGTGCAAAGTTATATATATGGTAATGTTAAAAACGTACAATTGTATATCAAATTCTTGTTCTTCCTGATAGCAAGCAACCACTATGAGTTATAAAACAAACCTATAAATTAGGAACACGGTATATTGTTATTTTGTGACTGAATATTAAGGTGTATTGAGTAAGAAGAAGCTTAAAAACAATATTTATTACATACAAAACATATGTCATTGTGTCGGAGTTTCAGTAGTCGTAACTTGTTGTGGTATTATTAACAAATTTTTAACAAGACGTATAATTTCTTTTATGGGAATGATTTGTCGATTGTGCTTGCGAAATATAACTCAGGAAAATGCGATATATTTATTTGAGTCTCCCCATACGGAATCTAAACTAATTAAACTTATAACAAAGTATTTCCACTTGGAGGTAATTGTCAATTGTTTGCCACCTCATAAGAATGCACTTTATTGATTGATTGTTTACAGGTAGCGGAAGATGATCCGATATCGACTTTATTGTGTGAAGATTGCGGTGATCATTTGGAAGAATTCCATAAGTTTTGGATATTTGTGGATTTAAAACAGAGCTCGTTGGGCAGTGAGTTTCTTGACGTAAAATGTAACAAAGTAGAAGATGTTACACCGGTATTAATCGATGTTACGGGAGAGAACATTGATAATCAAGAAGAAATACTCTTGGATTTGAAGGATATATCTGCCCCACATGAAACCTATAGCAACATCTTCGACTTAGCAACAACCTCCGAAAGTATAAATGTTAAGCCAGACATCAAATTTGATTTGGATGAGCAATGTGTAAATGTAGTAGCGGAAGATGATTGGAGAAATGACAACGAGTCGATTGAAGGTAATATATGGTTAGAATTAATTCTGTTCGTAGTATTTATTTAATATTGTTTTTATTTAGATGATATTCCATTGATAAATTTGAAGGAAAAAAGTGAAAATATTTCAAAGCCCACAAAACACAATGTAAAAAGTTATGCTCGTGTTAAGAACATCAAACGGAAATTTAAAAAGGTTGATTTCCGTCCAGTAAAAAACGTATTGAGGAAAGAAGCTTCGAAAATAAATAATGAAATTATTGGAAATTTTATGTTGCTGAACTGTGATATATGCGGTTTATGTGTTGAGACTTATAACGATCTCCGTGTACATTTCACACAAATCCATAAAAGCACAGCGTTTGTAAAGTGTTGTGGTAAAACATTCCAGAAACCAAGTTTGCTAGCAGAGCACGTTCAGTGGCATACAAACCCCAGTAAATTTAAGTAATACAGAACAAAGGTACAAAGAAAAGTGCTTATCTTCTTTATGAATTTTTCTAGATGTGAAGATTGCGGGAAACAATTGAAGTCAAGTAAATGTTTGGCAAGTCACATTAAAATAATTCACTCAAAAAAGGAAGTTAATCACGAAACTGTTTGCTGTCATATTTGTTCTAAAGTATTTCGCGGACAAAAATGTCTCGACAATCATATAAGAAAACATGAAGACAATAGAGCATACAGCTGCGAAATATGCACGAAAAGGTAAATAATAAAAATAAGTTTAACGTTAACAAACTGCTAACTGAAGTATTCCTGAATTAAATTTAATAGCTTTGCAACACCTCAACGCTTGCGCAAACACAAAGAGGCCATACACGAGGATCTTCATCGGCACATATGTGACGTATGTGGTAAAGCATTTAAATTTAAGCCATCTTTCGAACGCCATGTGCTTGAGCATCAGGGAATTATAGAACCACCTGTACAATGTGATATTTGCGGAGAATGGTCAAAAAATAAACACGTCCACCGATTACACCAGTTCAAACACAATAATACCGACGCAGACTGTAAGTATTGTGGACGCAAATGTCGCTCACGCACCGCCTTAAGAGGTCATATTAATTATATGCACAAGAAGAAATACGATTTACAATGCAGCTTTTGCGACAAAACTTTTAAAGAGAGCAGAAACCTAGAAGTAAGTTTTTGTATGTATATGAGTTACTATTTTTTAAATTTTATTTCACCGATTTTTTTTTTTTTACGTGTTAGGAGCACATGGCTACACACACGGGAGCGCAATTGTACTCTTGTCCACACTGCTCAAAGGAATGCCGCTCAAAATCTAATATGTACGTTCATATAAAACGTATGCATGCAAACGAATGGATCCAATCCAAAATGGCGCGTTCAAATGATCCAAATTTGAAGGGAACTCAAAATAATGTAAGCTGAAATTACCTGCGTATTGGAAAGCTGTTCGTATTTAAACAATGTTATATACCGTAGCTTATTTAAATATAAAGTTGATAAAGATTATATCATATTTATTAATTGATCTAGAAGGTTTAGTTTACGTTTAGGTTTAGTGTTTAATTATCGAGTCTTTTTATGGGGATTTAAGCTAGGACCCCCTTGGACAAAATTTTTGTAATATTACGTCTAAAAATACTATATGAAATGAATTATAAAAACTTAATTATACTTCTGAAACAGCAAGTTCAGTGAGAATTCCCTGTATTTTAGCCATAGCTTTAGCTGCATTAACAGGTTTCAGATGTTTCAGTTGTAAACCTATGCTAGTTCCAAAAGCTAAATACATATCATCTGTTCCCAATGCCTTGTTAGAGAAACGTTTATGTTGATTATCTTTCGTACTGAATATAGAAATGTTTGCAGATGTTGACGAATTGGTGTTTGGGTGAGACGCCAATCTTAATTTTTTAGATTCTTGATGTTGTAAGTCCTCGTCTAGATAATCTTCGGGAGCACATTTTTCCCAAACAGCTTCACTCTCTTGTAGACGTTCGCAGTTGTCGTTACTTAACTGTAAATTATTTAAAAATTACAAATGAAGTTTAATATCACTTATAAAAAATGTACCTCATCGTATGAGTCTTCCTTTTTTAGACTTATTTCATCATCGTTATCCTCGTCATCCTCAATAAACTCTCTTCTTCTCATCACTATTGTACTACTCAAATAGTTGAAATCATTATAATAATACAATTTAGGCTGATATATTTCAGTTGAATTAGAAGCTTTTCTTTTCCATTCCTCCAGTTTTCTAAGTTCGGCTACATATGCTGTGCGGAGATACTTAATCTTCTTTTTCATCTCGTGTACATCTGTGTCGAAGTAGTTTGCAATCTCTTCCCATGCTTTCTCTTTTAAACCAGAATTTCTGTATGATTCCTTTCTGCAATTCCAAAGGCATTCATACTGTTCATAAATTCGTATCAAATTAATAGTATCATCACGATTCAGTTTTAAAGCCATTTTCGAATATTTGTCACGCCAAAACTCCGACAATTAATAAATGGCAAAAATAGATGTCAAACCATCAAAATTACGTTAGAGAAGGACGATAGTATATCGATAAATGATTTTTACATATTTCGTTGTTAACAGATATACCCTAATTTCTTTTCAATTTAAATGTAAGAGAGATTTATATAAAATCTTCATGACCGAATCAATTAAATTATAAAAATTAATTTAGATGTATCAATTATCTTATTTTAAAACAAAACCGGTCATTATAAAGAGAGCTTACTTTAGAATTGATGTGGGTAACACTGTCATATGTTTTCATTCAAGCACGTGTAGTATTTGTTTACGTCGTGCATAGAAGACTAGTCCAATTTCTTTTCAATATAAAAAAAGAAATAGTAAAAATGTCGACGGAAGACGGTATTTTACAAAATTTAAATGTGTTTATTTAATAAATATTACATATGTTGTGTGTCTTTACAGAATTTTTGAATTGGCTGCGTCGCAATGAATTATCATTTCTTGAGAATTTTAAATTTGCATTGAAAGCTTGGAATTCGGTCGAGTTTACGCTCTCAAGTAAATATGACATAGTCCTGAATTGGTTATCCACAGCAACAGTAAAGATACCGATTGAACAAATGCCTTTTGAAGAGTTTACTGAACTGTTACAAATGCGCGCTCAACCAGGCCTTATTGTTCAAGATACAAAAAAGAAATTTGTTGAAATGATTTTAAAATTGGCCAACAAATGGGCTGAAAGCAATAAAGTTGTAACGAATTGTGATTGGCCAAAACTTTTGTGCCATCTGTGTGATTTTGAAGTTTTACAAGATTTATATCGCACAGATTATGAGATACATGCGCAAGTTTATTCATCATTACTTAATTGCTATGAATTATATTTAAAGAAATTGAAGTCATCGAATCAACCAATTAATTCTACCAAAACTAAACTTATAAATACTGCAAGCGAAACCAAATTCTTTTCCAGTATTCTTGGTCACTTACGAGATCACATTAAAAGAACCGGGAATACTGCCCGCTATGACAAATATTATCGCTTGTATATTTTGCAGCCACTTGTTCGTGTTGTTCTAACGCTGCGGACGCATTCTCTTTGCTTCTTTGATGAATTATTACAATTAGAACGTCTTTTGACGGATGAATTGCAAGATGAAACTTTGGTACAACGTATAATGCAATTGCCCCTATTTGTAAGACTTTTAACACTGGAATGTACTCTTGTCAACAGACGAGGCGTTGAAAGTTATATTCAACATTTGTTGCAGCGCGTATTCAAGGAACTTGCAAAAGAAATCGAAAAAGTTGAACAAAAAGATTATCTTAAAGCGAAAATGATGATAACTGCAGGTGCTTATACTTTGGAAATTTTGCGTAAACATGACATCAATCTAAATTTCAAAATGGATTTGGAAAATCAACCACTCGCACTTACTTACTTGGGTGAAGAAATTTTTAAGTGCATTCAACAAGGTAAACAAGATTATTTGCGTGAGGTTTTAATGCTATTGTGCGCAGCTTTGCGTCTAAATCCACTTATTTTGGAGCAAGACATTTTCCAGGTATTAAATTTTTCTAGTAGAAAATTTTAATTTTAATTTACATTTTTTATTTAGATAACAACTTGGATGATTGTCGCGGAAAAGAAAGACGAAGAAGAACAAATTTTGTTTGGCGATTATCTTGTATCCCTAATGGATATGTTTAGACGTTTAAGTCGAGCGGAGAAACTGGTTTTCAACATGCTCAAAAGCCTTAAAGAATGGTTAAACAAATTTGAAATTGTAACAAATAAAAAACCGGAAAAATCTTTGAAACGAAAATCGAGAGGATGGGATCAAAACACGGCTAAGAAATTAAAACCCCACAGAGCAGAATTAGACACCGACATAGATTATTTGCATGTTATCTTCGAAGAGTTTCATAGTGTGTCAACAGAAATTAACAGCGAAAGCTATAACGAAGTCGAGCATTCTTTTCCATATCTCCGAGCAGCTTGGCCGTCAAAAAGTGTTGGAGTTGCATTTTCAAAATTAATAACCGGACTCGTGTCTAAACCTTCTCTAGTAATTTGGAAATCACTGCTTTATTCCTTAAGGGAGTTGGTACAAAACTTATATGATAAAACTGATGTACGATATGAAGAGAATAACCAGTTCCTCTTGGATTTACATGCCGCTTTACTTTGTCAATATTTTGCCGGTAGCCGCCTGGCCGAACAATATGATAAGTTTTCGAACGAAATAAATGAACAGCTTCGAGTTACCGAAGAAGCTCTTTCTGAATTTGCACGATTGCTACTTGCCCAAGAGCATAATGAACGTAAATTAAATGCACTTCTGGAATGTGCCTTTCATACCAGTTATTTCAAACTTCTACTGCACTATTATCGTCCAGATGGACATAAAGAAAACTCACCAGCTCCCGAGCAATTACATGCATTTCTGAATACCGAAGAGTGGACCTTATTAGAAGAACGCGTAATGAATTTTGGCAAATCGCAAAGCAAATTTCTTTACAATCGCCTGAAGCTGCAAGGTGCTCAAGCAATTTCACTTTTAAAATTAACAGAAGAAAGCAGTGCAGTTGAACTGCAATCTATATTGCCTCTCACGAATGAAGACTACTTGCAAAATGACGTCGTGACGCTTTTGCAAAAAATGCCTAGCATGAAGTGGACTCTCAGTCGCATGAACCAGCACGACAAGGCTAGCATATTACCACGCCTACTTGATACAAAAGCTGAAATAAACGTAATTGCACAAGATTTGGACTCTTTAGAAATACTGGCAATCGCTGTTTGCGCTCGTTTTTCCCAACATTTTGAAATTGTTGCGAAGGGTTCGATTCTGGCTTCTTTAAATTGTAATTTCAACTCATTAAACGAATATATACGTGCTGACCAGAATGCAGCAGATAAAAAGTTGATAAAGTTAAAAAAAATTATCGAGACACTCGCTGAAACTGAGTATAAAGTGAAAGAACTTCCCGCGCCTGAGGAAATCGAAAAGGTTTTACATCTGTGTCGACAATTACCACTGGGACATTTACGAAGGCAAAATAAATGCTTGATATTTGCATTATTTTTAGCGTTTTACAGCGATTTGAGTGCATCGAACAAAATAGAAGCTAAAAAATATGCTTCGGATGTCTTTGAAATAATTTTAGGTAAAGAGAAATTTCGAAAATTTTATATCAGTAATTAAAAAAACCAATGCATTTAATTAATTATAACTAATACAATCTCATTTCATTCCAGATTTTCTTCATTTTGGTCCACATGTACCGATCTTCAAATATTTTTCATTGTCGACAATTTTAAAAATTCTACCTGTTGCAAGGTTGTGGCAATTCTATGAATTCACCTTTTCCTCTATCAAATCCGAGGAAAAAGGTAGTGAGCAGTTTCTCAATTCCTTGGCTGAAAACTTAGAATCCGCACAAAGTTCCGATTGTAAACTAGGTGAAGATCAGAGACGTCTTCTGCTACTCGCTATAGAAACCCTCTCTGCAATTAGTGGTCCTAGCGCTAAACGCATACGAAAATATTTTGACCGTATTTTAGCAATTTACTCCAAATATATAAACGGGTACTTTAATAAGCAAGCCGCAAAAGAATCAGATGCTTCACTAGATAACTCTGTCAAGAAAGATAAGAAATTTGTTGAGAAAACTTTAGCTGGTTTCGCGCCATATGTGAATTCTGTACTAACGATCGCGGCAGCTGGTATCGATAATGGGGATGATAAGTCGACCGTATTAGTGGATGAAAGCTTTCGTCGTATTTGTAAAATATACATTGGACACTCTGTAATTATGACAAAAATCACTATCCACTTAATATTTAAAATTTCGATATTTTTAAAATTTAATTTCCAGATGGATTACCGCAATCCGTATGCCATACGTCTGTTGCAAGTGGCGTTAAATCATCGACAACTTTTGCATTTGGATCAAGATGAAATCGAGTTTGTGCTTAGTCACTATTGGCAACAAATAAACGCCGATTTGAAAAACTCAAAAGTAAATGAAACGAATACTGGGAAAACGACAGAGACAGCGGTTAAAATGATTATTGGTAATAAAACCAATGAAGATTTACTACTAACACTACAGAGCTTGAGCAACAATTTGGATGGTATAAAGGATTTTAGAAATATTTTAAGATGCCTTGAATTAATAGCAAAATGTTCTTTTAGTACGATTAAAGGCGCTGTAAGTTGAACATAAATAAGCTGCATTCCTGCTATTAACAAGTAATTTCTCTTACCAAAACAGATTTTTAATGATAAATTTAAATCCATCACATGCAACATTATATTACGTCTTGGAAGAGATGAGAAGCAGCAATTTTTGGACAAGGAACAAGTTTTGGCATTATTGGCAGCGCAGCAATCGTTAGTCGAAAATAAAATGGTATGAAACTATTGAATTATCTCTACCCAAATTAAGAAGAAACACGAAAAAAGGCGTTAACTTCGGTCGCACGAAAGCTATAATATCCTTCAGAAATACAAACGATTCCATACAAGAATTTGGCAGCTAGATGCTATAGATCCGATCTAAACCTTTTGTTCGAAGATTTGAGTTTGATCAATCACTTTCTACAGCTATTCCGAAAAGCTTATTAGTGATAATAGCGTTGTATTACACAATATTTTATGCCCAATTTTGTTAAGATATCTTGCTAAATAACAAAGTTTTCCATACAAGAATTTTATTATGAGCGTTCAGTTTTTGAGACAGTTGTATGCCCTACAGCTCCAAAATAGACGGTTCCGACAAATGTACAGCTTCTTGGAATGAGGACTAGTTCAAATTTTCATTTTAGTACCTCAAAAGTTATTTTGCGTGTATACAAGCAGACAGATGGGCATGAAATCATTTAAAATATAAAATGTATAGACAATCCGTTTTTTTTTTGGGAATAACAAACTTAATATTCAGTGTTTATGGTCTATAGACTAGATCTCGATATGCAAGGAAATATCCCATATGATAGCGTCTTTTCATGTCTCAACCCATCTGACAGCTTGTTCCCTGTTTACATAGACTGATAATCAGATGATGATAAACTAATAATTCTTCTGTTATATTCCATTACAAAAATAATAGAAATTGTAAAATAACAAAATTATTATTGTTATTTCTTGCAGATTCCCATTTCAACGGACACTTTGGACGACATACTTTCACTTCTTATGGACATCAATATAAAACAATTTCCACTATCTGAAAATAATTTGGATACATTTAAACAATTACATTGTGCAATGAGTGGCTTATTCGGCAGTCTGATTAGACAAAGGCATGTACTACTTATGGATCGCGTACCACAATTTATGCACATATTTAAGGACCTCATACAATCTATTGTTTGGTACAAGAGTGACAGACAAAAAGATGCGGCACTATCGGCCAATGAGTTGGACGATTTAGCGGAGCTGGCAATGAAATTAGAAGCTCTAATGCATTTGATAGCTTCGCATAGCGTACATGTTAAGCGTGTTGCACCATTTGTGCTTACTTTTGTTATAAGTCTAATTGTGGCAAATAAACGCGCAACAACTTTATATCCGAAGGTTGGTTAAATATTTATGTATTTAAATTGTTTCAACAAATAATATTACTAATCTTTTTTTTTAGATCAAAACGCACATTGACAGTATATGCTATGATTTGATCGGAATTTGTGATCACCGTGTTGGACGTTTTATATTACGTTGTTCTAATGAAGCGGCTCGACAGGTATACGAGTTATATGTTAAAGATCATAAAAAGTATCACAAATTTAAGGGTAAAGTGTAAATATTGGTGTATTAGTTTAAAATCGTATGGAATATATGTATATGCATAAATTTGATATGAATTAAGTGTTTTATTAAATGAATTTATAGCTAACAATACATAGTTTACAGACCAACAAGTTAGACTATGCAGCTCTAATTTTGGTTTCTTATTACGAATGACCCCTATGTTCATTATATCACTAGCAATCCGAGCCGATAACCTTAATATCCTCAGGAATTACATATATCTAATCAAATAAAAATAATTATATGCTTCTTTAATAAAATTCAGCGACGTTACTACACATAAAACATTTAATATTTCTTAAAATAAATAATATAAAAATACGTTTAATTTCTATAACTAAATTTTTTTATAACAAAATAAAGCACAATGCATTATACTAAAAAATACGAAAAATATTTAACTTTAGTTTTATAGATTATAAATAAAGCTTGAAGCTAGGTATAAAATTAGGAGAAATTTATAAATTTTGAAATAAAGAACACTTTTCACATATTGGCCGTTCAACATTACCGCAACCACTGTAAATCAAATAAAGTCAATTATTATTTTTTGATTATCTTTGTAAAATTGCAAATAACTCACAATAGGGAAACGCAACTGTCACATAGGAATATACCACATTCTGCACATGAGTGTCCACAATATTCGCACAGTGCTTGTGAACAATTACAACAATCGCTACGTATGTAAGCTTCACGGTGACAACATTTTGATTTGCGACTCTCCAAAGAGAGATCAACTATAAGATCTGTAACATTTTTTGATGATATTTCACCATTACCACGTAAAATAACCTGCTGCCATAGTGGTACTTCCCCCTCCGCAGCTGTCTCTGATTGGCCCTGGTCTAATGGTTTTTGTACACGTGCTGCTTTGAATAATAAGTTGATAGTTTTTTCTAAAGATAGGCAAAGAAAATATATTAAACTTTCAATTTATAACATCACATGGATAAATAACTAACGATGAATTTTGTTCATTTTATTTTGATCGCGCTGGTCCATAATCTTGTCACTAATAAGCTTTTTAGTTTGTGGCACAAATGTGTCGAAATCTTCACAACGTTGACGCTTTAACATGATTGGGGCTTAAAGATTCTCAACTTCAGTATTGGCTCCACTATAATAAAGAAATAATACTGATTCTAGCATGCAGAACATATCAAACATATCCATAGTTACATATCTCTTTTGTTTACCTAAAATTTCCACTTCGTGCTATGATATAATAAATTATTAAACAATTAAATTCGGGTATTTGATTATATGCTCGATCACAGATAAAATTATTGTTTGTAATAGAGCTATAAATATTTTCCACTATCCCAGTAACAGAATAAATGTTAAATAAATATAATAATGCAACTAGCATAGAGGTGTTTATTAATAAACGATTAGTATTTAAAAAATCGATATTTAGAATATATATCGCACATCTCAAAATGACAGAGAAATATCAAAGCACACATTTTTGGGGTTGGATATGTGGTAACATACCATACAGACATCCATATATGGTATATTAACTGTGTGCCTTGTTAAAAAGGAAGTCGGAATAAATAAATTTAATTCACAAAAATAAATGGCAATGTGAGGAATTACTCTAGAGCGTTTCTGGAAAAAGTTGAATTGCGGTGACCGTAATCCAAATCTCGGTGATGCATCATCTGAAATCAAAGAATTTAATTTATATACCTAGAAAATCTCTACGGTCAGGCAGTGCTGGAGGGCGTTTTCGTTCCCGCGACAGTCGGGTCGACGAACACCGGAACGGACCCGGACTTTTATCCGTCCAAGGACTGTCAACTTAGCAGAAGTCTGCGAACAACAACAACAACAGCGTTTTCGAAATTTACATTTTTCCGTTTTTAGGACCACTTTGAACGCAAAAACGAAATTAAAAAAAAATCGGTTAATTTGTTTTTGTAAAATGAAAATATTAACAAATTTGAAAAAGCTTTACATCGTAACTTATGCATGCATAGGTATTTGGCATCGACTTAACAACGTTAGTTGTGGAGGAAAACGTTTCAAAATTTTGAAATCTGATGTTAAACTTTCCTAAGATAGGTATAAAATTTTGTCAATTTTCCTTCAACCGACTTGAAATTTAGATACAAAATTCTTGAGATATTATGCATTCATTTAAGACAAAAAAACTTAAAACTTATCTATGTTCGATTGGTTTCTAATCAAGATTTAAATAAATAAACTAAATACATATGTATATAAGCATATATAGTACATACTTCTATGGTGACTTCCGCATACTCGTAGATTTGGTCCGACATGGACCAAAGGTGGGAATTTCGACCAAATTGCAATAGTTTGTTTATTATTGTTTATGTAAGAAGTCAAACAAAAAGAGTAAAGGTAAACAAAACTGAACAAGGTCACTGTACTTCATTCATGCGTTCAAGAGTCAATCATCGGTCAACGACAAAACGAACAATCAACTCATACGTTTGAACGTCAAAAGTCAACTTGAACTCGTCAAAGATCGACTGAGGTTCAATACACATAGATAATCTCAAAGAGCAGCACCAATATCTACGAAAAATTTAATATTGCTCACCATTATTTTAAAACTCCAATAACCAAGCACTTATATTTACTTATATATTTGTCTTCTGTAAAAAGCAGACTAGATGTGTACATTCATATGTTTATGTACATTTGAAGGTATTTCTATATATGCATATTTGTATGGGCAAAACTAGTGATGTAATGATTGACTGGTACATTTGTATGCTCCGGGGTTTTTCAAATATTGCACAATTTGACTTGTTTTGATTTTTTACATCGTATCACGTTATCGAACCGGATGCAAATAAAGGTTAGCAATATACACATACATATGTACACCAGTGCATATACACATATACATATATGTATACACGTTAAGAAGATCAATATGGGCCAAAATGAATTTATTAAAACCAAAATGTAGCTTAAAATGTTTGTGTATTATGAATATTTGTTAAATATTTCGTTGTAATTGTAATCCATGAAAATTTGGGATACACAATGTATTTTGCTTCACTGTATAGTGTACAAGATAATATTAATAATATATATACATAATTTTGAAAATTAGCAGTTTAATTATTAATAAAATATAGAAATAAACAGAAATATATATCGATGTACAATATTTTTTCTGTATTTCTTTTTCAATATTTCGTCAATTTATTTTTAATTTAAAAAGAAAGGGTCTAACGTCTAAAAGACTTTTTTACATTTATCGATACACGACTACGTTTGATCACTAAGTTTATCGAAAAATTGATATGAAAACAATACAAAACGGAATACCAAGAAATGTCGAAATGTAAGGGAAACAGAGGAAGATCAACGACGACGCGAAATAATAGAAATTCAACGTTTCTTGCGAGAAGTCTATCAACCGCTGTGTTTTCATTCACGAGTTCAGTGTTAAAAATTCAAAGTGATGCAATTGGTGATTGCAATTTGGTGAAGAATTCGGTTGGCTTCATTTTTCGAGCGCATGCTACTTATTTTTATTTTTCTCGCTGCTTTCATTGTTTCCTAGTTATTATATATTATTAACAAATTATTATTGAGAGCGAGCTGAAACGAGTCTTTCACGGTGGAACAGTGAAATTATGGCAATTGCAAAACAGTGAAATTTAATGTGTAAACTCACGAATTATGTGGTGAAGGTAGTGGCAGGAATGAAACTATTGAAATTATAAATGCAATTCAAAGAGAAAATCTAAGCAATGAAATAAAGAGTGCAGTGAAAATATACGAATCCCAACAATGCAGCTTCAGATAAATAGTTTGTACGTTTATTTATATTATCATATTGTGTGGTAAAATCAGTAAAATTCTAAGTGGAATTGAAAAAGTTTACTTATAATTTTATATAGTTACAATATGCATAGAATGCAAGTAACAAACGTTAGAAGAAATATCTTTGCTTTCCTTATTTTGTATTCATCGCTACATCATGGAAAACTGATCAATGCAACAAATGATTCTGATAAAAAACCCATTGAATTCGAATCTTTAACCGACAGTTTTGTACACAATGCAAATCCGACGTTGAATGATGGGGTACCGACTGTGACAACAGCAATTCCGGGGATACCTCCGCCACAAGTGAACCTTAATAAATGCTGTCGGTACAATGAACATATGGATATGAATAAAACTTGTGTAATGGGCAATTCCAAGCTGTGGGTGCCTTTGATATATCGTATTTTTCAAAAAAGATATCATAGTCCTCAAGGTGGAAAGCCAAAATTTATGACATTTCAGGAAAATATGCGTCCAATTGTATATGTGGATCATAATAACTCGAAGGAGGATGTGTCGATGGTGAATGATACAAAAGAAACAAAACGTAGTTGCACTGAAGAAGAATTGGAACTTTTCTCGGCTGGCGGAAATTGGTTAATATTTTCTAATGGTTCATTATTTTTGGGTGAGAGGAAGCAATTTATTGAACCCCAGCGATATTGTGTTGATAGAAATATCGCACTAGTCTGCTTTCCTAAAGAGCAAAATACTCAGCAACGAATAAAGATAAGAAAATGCTGCGGTTGGAATGCAATTTATGATGCTGCCAACGAAACTTGCATATTTCCCACCGGTAGTAATGGTATTAGTACACCTGAATTGCCTTTAAATAAAAGTGTGTACGAGACAATATACGGGTTTCCCACATGCCATCATAAAGTTGTACCTTATGCCATTGCGGGCGATTGGAACGAAAACCAAATGGATGACGAAGATGGAAGTCTAAAATTGCCTCACAAAAACATATCTTCTGGTGATTATTGCCTTGAACATTTTCGCGAAAAGGGAGTAATTGTTGCTGTTAAAATATTCACATGCCTTCATCACTTTTCTACCGAAGCACCTGCCAATGCTATAGCGGCTGTTCGTAGCTCTACTAGTAATATGGTGCAAGCAGCTGCTCTTAACATTGGAATTGTTATTTCAGTCGTTTTTCTAGCTGCTACGTTGATAGCAGGGTATATGATGCCCTCCGTTCATCATATGCTCCATTGGCGTTGCCAGATTTACTACGTTTTTTGCTTGTTTGTTGGAGATTCAATACTCGCCTACACACAATTATCCCATTCATTGGAACATGGTTCATTTACCTGCCTTTTACTTGCTAGCACAATGCATTTCTTCTTTCTATCTGCTTTCTTTTGGCTAAACACCATGTGTTTCAATATTTGGTGGACTTTTCGCGACTTTAGACCAAGTTCTCTTGAACGCAATCAAGAACTGCTACGCCTACGACTATATTCGGCGTATGCTTGGGGTGTGCCCTTATTGATAAGCGCAATTGCTTTTACAGTAGATCATTTGCCAGAGACACAGTTATTACGACCAGGATTTGGAGAACGTAGTTGTTGGTTTAGCGGCGAGCATTTATCAATTTTTGCATACTTCTTCGGCCCAATTGGACTTTTGCTGTGTGCTAACATTGTACTTTTTATATCCACTACTCATCAATTAACATGTGGCCTGTGGAAGCGAGACGATGTCAAATCGACCACTGAAAAAACCGCACTGGGGAAAGTATGTTTAAAACTAGTCGTGGTAATGGGCGTTACCTGGATAGCCGACGTAATATCATGGGTAGTTGGAGGACCCCATTCTGCTTGGTTTTTCACCGACATGATAAACGCCCTGCAAGGAGTGTTTATTTTCATTGTGGTTGGTTGCCAACCACAAGTTTGGGCCGCTTGTAAGCGTTTTTGCTGTCCTCGTTCGCGACAAGAGATTACAAACACAACGAATGGCGTACAGCATTCAAGTTCTTCACAAGGATTACCATCGGTGGGAGGATATGCAGGTGGTGAAGTTACGCAGAATACATCAGTAAATACCACGTCTATAGGGGGTAGCCAGCAGACGCAAACAAAAATACCGATGGAAACAGTATGTTAAGGTAAAAATTCATTAGTTTTTTCTATATTTATACATGCATATACACATGCACATATATATGTGCCGGTTTTTCTATGTTTATACATGCATATGTACATAACCTTGAAGGAAAAGTTAGATAAAATTATAACAAATCACAATACGTTAAACCTTCAATCGTTCAAAAATGTTATTTGACTCATACTTCAACTTTATGTTTTTACAATTCTAGAAACATAATTTGAAAAGCTTTGGTTATTTTCAATTTCCATTTCTTTATACCCTGAACAAGGTACAATTACGTTTGTCCCGCTGTTTCTAAAATCCTATTACAATTTCTAAGCTCCTATAAAGTGTTCAGTGAAATTCCCATTATGGGCAGTCCGCATCGCCGGCCATCTCTCATAACAAGACAAATTTCATAAATCCAACGTTTTCATTATTATTTTCATAAAATTTTTGGTGTTTTGAGACAGTTTTTTAAACAAAAAAGGAAATTGTCTACCGACTGGTTCGCGACGGCTCAAGGGAAACTAAGAGGATAATTGTCGTTCATGCACTCCTGGCTGTCAATGGTTCGTATTTATTAGTTCTCGTTTTTAAAACGCTCCCATATATGAACAGCCTTAGCTGCGACGGTGGGCATCCGGTTATGAGGAATTTTACTGTACTTATAAATGGAAATAATGAGCGTGACGATCTAAAGGTCCAGGCTCAATGCTTTCTGGCTTTATATGACCAACTAAGCGCTTTGAACGCTGTCAAAGTGTGGTTGCCACTTACTTAATATCTTGTGAATAAAAGCGCCAAACAAAACATTAGTAATTTTTTTAATTTAGCTTAACTTAATTTAATTTTTTATCAAACGTAATTTTAATAAATATATATATATATATAGTATATATGTTAATTATTTTAACTTATCGTATCGTGTGATAAAATGTTGTAAATCATTATAGAAAAAAAAGTACCGACTGGCAACCATAGTTACAAAATCTACTTTCAAAAGCGCTGGTAAATAGAGAACGACAACAACAACAACCGAGAAAATAGAGCTATTAGAAAATCCAAGCGCTTGAAGTCTCGTTTCATATGCTGTAGTATAGTTCTATTCAGTCTTGACAGTTATCAAAGCAAAGCAAGTAAAGCTAGCCAGCTTTGGGCCAGACCCTTAAGTCGAGTCCGTTTGTCTGTCCGTCTGTATACATACATACGTATATGCGAAGTAATCCCTCAAGAATGAATTATTGAAAACGTCCTTTTCTCTCAGAGAAGCTGCTAATTTGTCGGAACAATCTGTTAATATATTGTTCAGATCTGCCATCCCTATTGACAGATCAAAATCAAGTAAAGATCTTTTTTTACCCTTATGATATAAAAGAAACACCTGCGAAAGGTATTATGATTTTGGAGCTGCTGACATTAAAGTTTTTTTTCTTTAGAAATTCGATGTTCACTTACGTTGTTTTTTGTGTAAAGGTAAGCGTCTTAAAGCTTTTAAAATTTGTTCCTAAAGCGACAACACCTCTACACTATTAGCTTTACAGAGTCAGTTAAAAGATTTTTATCGCCTTTATTATATAATACAATACCAGCCAATAAATAAAAAAAAGGTTATATAGAATGTTTAGCTCTGGGACAGCCGAATAATTTGCGTTTCTTCCCTTTTCGTTTAATGCCTATGCAGGCATATGTGTTATCTCTGTTATAAAATCAGCGAAAATCACCAATATAAAGAAAATGGAACTTACTCATAATACTTATGGTATTTGATTTTACACACAAAATATACCGTTAAAGTCATGAAATATATACGCTTTCTTAGGAATATCAGTGTTACTCATAAGTACGGTAATTTTTCTAAATTAAGAATATTTACACTTATAAAATATCATATTTGTTTATATTGAAAAATGTTTAAGGTATGTGTAAACATACACACGTACATATATTATAGATATTATATATAGTCTGTACAGTGGTTTTTGCAATGTTTTTTCAATAGTCCGCCCAAGTAGCACCATCTTCCATATGTATTTGTAATATTTTTTTCGGATATTCCTTTGTATCGTTTAATTGTGGATAATACATACAAATAAGAACCTACATAAAAGTAATTGAATTTATGAACGTACATATGTATGTATGTATATCCACACAATTGTTAGCTTTTAATAAATTAGCACACTTCAGATTTCTGCAATTCCCCACATTCGTGTATCCAGAAGATAGGGCATGTGCTCTAAGGCAAGCAATAGAGGCAATTAGCAAACGCTTTAATTAATTTTTGGAAAATRAAATAAATAAATATTTAAGCTTATTGAAATGAACATTCCATTCCATGCTAAAGGTCCATAAAGTGTTTTTAGCGCTTCTACGTAGTTCTTTTAAGATTTTCTTATTGTAAAAAAATGATCGGAATATGGAAAATTTGCAAAGGGGAAAAATACTATTTATATGTATGTGGGTGAAAAGATAAAGACTATTTAGGTAATGTAAAAAATAATATTGATTGTGGCGAACTTGCATACTGTGAGCTTATTCATTGTGTATGCTCTTTGAAAATATATTTATATTTGAAACCCATTGATTTAACTTCTGTTTCGCAAATTTTTTAACAAAAATACTGTATAGGTGTAGTGTAGTGCATAGGTATATCTGATTGTTTTTGCTTATTTAGATCAATAAACAGATGCGGGCAACTAATTAACCCTGATGGACATCGTTATTTTGTTGCTCTTTACAAAACGATGATTGTTAGTCGAATCGACTAACCAAGCACGTCCAGGGCTAATAACGACATAGCCCTGTAAATATTTTGTATCAATTTGTAAAATGCCGATTGAATTAAAGTTATATTTCTATTAGTTTCTACAAGTAAGCATGTCTCACGAAAGCTATCAAATATTCTAGAGAAATGGTGTTTTTATTGAAAATGTGATTAAAGCGGTCGTGGTTATTTTAATTTTTCTGTTTTTTTTGTTAGCATTTTAAACTGTGTTATTTAAAAATTTTCTGAAATTCTTATTGAAAGTTACTGAATTTAATAATATTAGTTAAGTAATAGTATGGGTAAAAATCTTGTGGTGATGATACAAGAGCAGTTTTTTCCAATTGCAAGCGAATGGGGGGAGTCATGCTATGTAATCGCAAATTCGCTGCTACTCTCTAAACTAAAACCAGAGGGTGGTTAGATGGTGTGTTAGGTGCCCAAAACGAAAAGAGCTGGATCCTAGGAACACAACTCCAACACTGATGCACGGAGGCTGCATTATGTATAATGTATTGGGCATTTCATCGCTTATGTTGAAAACGTTATAACTCATTAAAGAAATAAGTCAGAAATATTAGTTTTCACATCCAAAATAATGTACAAAGGGATTATAGAAATATTGGGTAGTCGAAAAAGTCATTTCGTATTTGTTAATAGATGTCGTTGGAGTCGTATATCTCAAATGCTACCAATCACATTGTGTTATAACCATATAGTGTTGGAAAGGTGAGATTTTAACTTTATTTAACCCAAAAAAAAACTAAGTTCGGGGAAGTTGAAAAGAAGTTACAGCTGTTCAAAAATGAGTGAAAATAATGAAAAAATTCGCTATATTTTGAAATTGGGGAAGAATGAGACGCAGGCCTCCAATGAAATTTGTGAAATTTTCGCAGACGATGCTGTATCAGTTCGTGCAGCACAACAATGGTGCGCTTGCTTTCGTTCTGAAAATTTCAATATTTCAGTTTACACTGATAAAATAATGTCTCTAGCGGAAAAATGGCAAAAATGGTACATATTTATTTATTCATTTTATTATTATATCGACAATTACAAATTGGGCATTGCACCAACTTTAAGATAAAATCTTATATCACTCTATTCAACAACTTCAATCAAATTTGGCGTAAATTATATTTATATCCTTATTTCACTGTGCGACAATGGGCGAAAATATGACTCAATCACGCCTTCTTCCAATACATCACAATTCTATATTCCGTCTGATTCTTTTATCTTACAGTATATTCATAAATCAGCTACACATGAAGATATCAGATTTAACTTTGGACAAATTATGTCTTCAAGGTAGTTCAACTCAGCATTTGTTGATTGGTCGTTGTTGTAACGGTTATCTACTACCCGCTTAGGTGATCATCGAAGTCATCTGGGACCAGAAACGAACTGTCTCGACGGGTTTGTACCATAGGGGGAAAGGTGTTAGATGAGTGGTGTGTTCGGTGGGCATGCAAACAGATGGTTAGAGTCCTACGGTGGCTCGTTGCATGTTGGGCATATACGCATTTGGTATGTCGAGATAAGTAGGAGTTTCACACACTACTGTATCAAGAACGAAGTTGCGCATGGGTCACTCAAGAATCTCTCGAATCATCTGCAATGGGTGGTGGTTTGACCCCAATTTCAACTTTCATTGAGAGGCAGTCGGTGAAGGTGTTAATAGGTCCACTGTGAATATCAATAAGTGCATGTGATATTGTTGACGTAGTCAAGGACCTCTTGTGATTGTAATTTGGAAGAATGCTGCCGTTTATATAGTTATTTCCCGGATAAAAATATTGTAACACCTAAAAGGAAATGTGGAAGACCCTTTAAAATGTATATAAATGATCAGCATAATGAGCTAAGTGGAGTTACATATGTCTATCTGTCTGTATATACATATACACATATGCGAAGCAATCGCTCAGCTTTTGAGTTATCAATCTATTGTACACGTTCTTTTCTCCCCCAGAAGCTGCTCACATGTAGGAACCGCCGATATCGGACCACTACAGCCTAAAGTTGCCATACGAACTGACTGTTCAAAATTTAGTGAAAAATTTGTGAAAAATCAATGCGTTTTCTTTATTTAGTCTCATAAATTATCAGTATGAGAATTGAATTTTTTATATTTTTTATATGTCGAAATGCTGAATCAAAAGTGTATTATTATAAAAATTAAGGCTCAACATATTTTTTAAGTACTTAATTTGCATTATTCAGAAACGCATATTCATTGCACACACAGT